TTTTTTTAACCAATATCCAAATGGAGTAAACTAATGAAAATATGGTATATGTAGAACATATTATATGTGTAATATTTACAAGGTTGTCAAAAAATTAATAAAATTTATTTAATATAATACATATTTTTTTTTTTTAATAATATTAATAATTACTTTGTACAGTATTATAAAAAAAACCACAATTACTACAAGTATAGGAGTAATGACCATACCATTTGAAGTTGAAGAAAGTGAAGTGTTACTTGAAATATATGAAATGATTCTAAATTCTTGAGTATCATCATACCTGTCTAAACCATGTGAATGTAAATAACTAGTTTTTCCTCCCGGAGTAATCATAACCTCCTGTACTTCTTCAGGATATCCCGTTATTACTGGATCTCTTATTTCTACAGTTCCCTTTGTCACACTTATAGGAACTTCTTCATATATATTTTTTAGTTGCTCTATCCCATATCCTCCTTGCAGTATATTTGTATGCTCTATGCTTACTTTTTTTTGAACTGATGAAAAATTATGGGCATTTCCATTTGAAGTAAATGACCATTTAGATATAATATTATAGTCCTTATGTTTTAAATAATTTTCAAAAGCCCTACAAGACGTATCCTTATTATTTGATTTTTCACACTTCTCTTTGTATTTGTTATATGTTCTGATATATTGATCAAAGTATTTCTTAAAATTACTACTACATAATCTATCATTCACACGAAAATATTCTACAAGTTTATCATAATCTTTCGAAAAATCAAATATTAGCTTAATATCCATAAAATTATCTTGATTGATTTCATAATTATCATAATTACATATGCTCATACCCCCATCACAATTTAGTAAAAATTTAAATAATTCCATATTAGTATAAAAAAAGTCTCTAAAATATAAATTTTTATAAAGTACGTCAATTAACCAATAGTAAAGGTAATTACAAATAGATAGATCAAAGTCATTTTCCAAACGTTTTTTATATACATAACATAAGGCTTTAGAAATATGATAAGGAGTTTTATAAATCCAACGCTCCGTATCTATACGAGATAATACACTATCATAAAAAAACACGCCATCACAATTCCCTTTTTCCTCATCGAAAATAGCATAATTTATATTTGTAGGAAGTTCTTTAAGTTCATCATCCTATAAATGTAAAAAAAAATAGAAAATATATTTTATTCATTTATAAACAAAATAAAAAGATTTATTTAAGAAGATATATTGTATTTTAACATAAATAATAAATTACATTATACAAAAAACATACCCCTAATTCACCTTCCATTATTAGCGAATATTAAATAGTGATATACAAACAAAATAAAAAATCACATGTATAACTATTTATTTAGTAATATATTCAAATTATCCTAGTAAAAATAATATGTATATATATAACTCTACATAGGAGTAAATATTTGTTTTTATGATTTTGTGTATTTTTATAAAATTTTATGGTATATATATTATATAACATTATTTTCTATGAAATATAAATGTATATTAATTTATAGGGGATATCATATAAATTTATATATTTTAACTATTACATGATAATTCAAAAATGTATGTGAAATTAATTATCCTGGTATTTTAGCAGTATATGTTATATTGTTGTACATATTGCAGTAATAACCTATATTCTCTATGAATATTTTATGTAATACTGTGTACCATAGATACTATAGATTATATTAAATATTATAGGTTTTTTTATTTTATACTTAATATGATTAGTTGAATGACATTTTTATAAGGTAAGTTAAATAGTGCCTATTTGTATACATTATTAAAACAAGTATCACATTTTATTTATTTTCACGCTATATATCTAATAGATTTCTTAAATAAATATTATTTTTTTGAATTCATTAAGTTTTTCTTATTTTCATATTATTTTTAAAATGTACTATATATATATTATCGATGTTCGTAATAATATTCTAATGCTCAGCATGCCATAAGTTAAAAAGTTTTTTTCATTTATATATTACTGTCATACATTGACTATTGCATAAAACATAAATTCTTTTTTATTATGCCTTATTTTAAATTGATATTGTATAAACACAAAAATTTTTATACATATGAATTTTTCTTATTAAGAAAAATAATTATGTATAATTAAAAATTTACAAAAACATTTAATTTTTAAATGTATAAGGATATACTAGTTCGTAAAATGAATAATTATACATTTTACTAAAATATTCATATTTATGAAAAGTGCATTCAATGAAATATTATTTTTAAATATCATATACAATTATCCTATAATTAAAAATATATAAACATATTTTAATTAGCACGCATATTCCTGTGTGAAATGTTTTATATTTTATGTGCTTTTTATTAAACGGTATCATATCTATAATATACTAAAATGATTTATATATAAGGCGAATATTAGCCTAATTAGTTACAACATCTTTTAACATATGTAACTAAAGTATGTTGTACCCCAAAATATGTATAAAGTTCGAAATTCTTCTTTAAATTTGGTAGATTTGGTAAAAGAACTCTATTATTATTTTTTTTTTTGTATTACTAATCTTTATTTATTTAAATCTATTGATGACGCATAAAAGTGTATATTAATCAACGATAGTATGAGACGAAGTAATAATAAAAAATAATTTTATATATGAAGAATACATTTTATCATGTGTATTTTATTGGAACAAAAGGTTAAGGAAAGAAAAAAATATGTCTATACATAAACGTATTATACTATAACCTTTTTTAAATGAAATACTAGGAACCATGAAAAATGGTATATTAGAAATGACATATTATAATCTTATGTACAAATTCCTTATAAATTGTAACAATTGATAATCAATGACAAAAAAATAATATATAAAAATAAAAAATATTATTTTTTAACAGTTTATATATTTTATAAATATTATGGTTTTATTAAAAAACCCAGTAAGTCGTAATATTGTTCTATTTGAGCATAGTCTTTTATTTTTTATATTTTTTTTAATTTGTAAGAAAATTTTTTCATGGTGCTTCATGCTCCATGAGCAAACTCGTCGTTTACGTTATAAATAATTACAACTTATAAATTCCTAAGAAGAAAATTTTTTAACGTATTTATCTCAATATCTTAAAGTATATATATGTAAATTTTTTATATTACTACATTACTAATAAAATAGATTGAGATAATTACGGAAATAAATACAAAATAATGAATATTTCAATTTTTCTCTTTATAGTATTATTAAATAAAAAACAAAGTTTGCGCACAAAAAGATATATTTCATGATCTATTATTAGTTTCTCAAAACTATTAAACTTCAAAATGCGTTATTTTTGTGTATATAAATGTTGTAACAGCATAAAAAACTCATTGAAGATGTCTAAAAATGTATATTGTATAAAATAATTATTAATGTA